GAACTTCCACTTGCCATTTCACATGATAAACACTACATTCTATTTATTTATGGCCCAAAACTTATTATTTGTGGATAGCCACAACTGAGGTCTTGAGTTTTTGAGTATCATAGAAGAACCACGTTCCTTTCGCAGCGATAGATCAACATTTGACCCTTTTTTAGATATTATATGAGGACTAAGATGCACAAAATCAACCATTGTTAGGCCAATGGTCCTTTCCAAATGTGAAATCTTGCATGCATTATTTATCAATTCCAAAAGGTGATGGTTGTGTTATTACGTTGGAAAAGAGGTACTTGTACAGTTTTGCTACTGATTTTGACCAAGGGTTTTTCGGCTCTCATCTCTATATGAATATGCTTTTTTCAGGTTAGTGGTTTAGGAGTTCCTGCCAACACTGGCTTTTGGAATTTATCCTCGCTTCATCAGTTGGGATTTCTGTACAAAACTAAGATAATTTATTTTGGTGCTTGCGATGAGTATTAGATAGAGGGGTGATGCACACATACTTCACCCAGTGTATCTGTTCATGTATGTTGTTAATTGACTAATTAGACAAAAAACCTCTATCTGTATGGTGTTTGTGATGATGCTATCAATTCACCAAACACTAAAATACCGGGTTGTGCTTTTCAAATCTAGCGAATTAATTCTCTATTGCTTCTTGTCCAAACAGAGGTATTAGATCTATTCTGTGCCACGAGTCTTACTGTCAAAAAATTATATAAGCCGCGCTAGATGATTATAGGTAGCTCATATCAAGAACTTTGTTTTAGCAGCACAATTCGGATAAATTTGCACTTTTTCACCAACGAACAAGGTGTTACATACCAGATCAAAGATCGAAGCCAGGCTGAACATTGCGATCCTACAGATCTGCCAAGTGGTTCCTCATGAAATAGATAGTAGTGCCGTGAAAGAACACTACCTAATGCCATCTTCTGAGAAAGCTGGACATGCAAAAATTGACAGTGTTGGACATTTCTCTTTGTAGCAACGAATAAATTCATTGTATTACTATATAGCCATGGTGGAAATCTTTTTTGGATAACAAGAAACAATTTGCTTCTCATCAGAGATAATATTGCAGTCTATCAGAAAAAATGTTAGCTATTTAATTAAACAGAAAACTCTGTCACTCATAGCAACAGATGATAAACTATCAGACTACCTGATAGAAAAGCAAAATTGCCACATTATTTAGAACATTTCTCTAATTTTGAGATGGCCAACTACTAACATTTTTAGAAATTTGCCATGTGTTAGATAATATGGCGAACTTGTATAAGAAATCAGGGATACACATGGCAACCTTTAACCAATTTGTCCTATAAAAATTTGCCATGCATCGGTCAAGCCCCACATCGGGCATGTATAAATGGAAACAAACAAAGTTTACTAGGATTCGCGATTGGGGATGAGTAAACACTGGAGCACATACACAATAAAAGGATTGCTAAAAAAATTGCAATCTGCGGGACACTGGATGTCAGATGAAAATAAAAGGAAGCAACATAAGATGGGACGAGGAGGCAAACCTTGTAGTGTAGGGGCATCTGGCTGTTCCCAAGGCCCTTGCGCTTGGTGTGGTCGCCGTGATGGCGCCCGTGACGCTCCGGCCCAGCGCGCACACGAACGAGTCGCTACCGCCGCCTGAGGATATGGTGGTTGTTCCCAGCGAGGAGCAACAGCAGCTCCCGCCAAGGCGCCAGCTAACCAACCGGATGTGCTCGCTCGGCCCGAAATTTCCAATTACAGAGCCCAGGATAGCGACTTGGCTTGTCGTACACCCCGGCCTCGCTCGCCCCGGAGCGTGGTCACCGATTCGTCACCTCGCCAGTACAAGGACCCAGAGGGCGACCACATGCTCCACTGTGAGTTCAAGAACAAGGCGGCTCTGATATTCTTCGACGAGGACCTCCTTGGACAGGTGCGCGCTGTCGGCCGCTGATGCCGAGCAGCCTACACGCGCCTAGCCCTGCCGCGGCACGTCGAATCGAGACCAGCCATGGCTGCCACTGGTCCTCCGCGGCCGCCGTTGTCGCTTTGAGTGGAAGGTGGACGAGCTGCGCGTAGCTTGAGCAGGTCGGGCTTTGGGGGATGCGTGCTGCCGTCGGACGCCGGAAGCAGCTGTCCCATGCCGCAAGACCGGCCATGGCCGCCGCGAGCAGATCGGTGTCGCTGCCACATCTCCTCTGACTCTCAGTCACTGGAATGGATAAGAGACGGGTAGGGGTTGGGTGAGTGGGTGAGGGGAGCTGCATAGAAAACGGTTGTCCGTGTGGTTTGTTGTAACTTGTAAAGTCGCGAACGTTTTCACACTTTCACGGGCTAATGTGTCAACAAGCAAGCATCAAACTTTGTGAGTGATCAGACGACCGTAGACTACCTATGCATGTACGGAGTACCAACTTTTTTTAGTGCTCCAACTAGATATACATTTTTCTTGTATAAACTACTTCCTCCATTTTCAAATATTTGTCTTTCTAGACATTTTAACAAGTGACTACATACAAAGCAAAATGAGTGAATCTACACTCTAAAATATTTCTACATATATTCGTATGTTGCCACCCATTTGAAATCGAACATATAAACCTGCCTACATTACCCGCCATTCCAGAGCAACCGTGTGCGCTGAGCTTGTTGGACCGAACGATTCTTTTCCTTTAGCGAGGTTTTTGGCTGCTGGCAGCCGGTAAACCATTGGTTGTTCTCCACGTTCATGGCTGTATGTAGACATATTGGCCGCTACATTCCCTCAGCCCATGGCTTCCAGCGCATCCCCTCCCTGCCCCCACCTCTCCTCCTCTCCTCGCTTCCTCCCAGATTCATCTTTGATGGTGGCGGCGGCACTCGATTCGATCTGCAGGAAGGAAAAGGAGGTGCGACGGTGGATGAGAGAGGGTCACCGGCCGACGTTGATCTGCGTCGGCGGCGCGACCTAGAGGTTTGTGGCGGGTCGATCCACTGGATCGGGGCTGTCATCCCCGTGGATGAGGATGCACATGGTGCTACGTGGCGGGTGTGTTCGATGACGTGGAGGCGCTGTGGTGTGGCGTACAACGTCAAGGGGGAAGTGTGCAGAGGAGTTCCGCGGCGGTGACACCATGGATACGGCGTCAATGGAGAGGTGTGCAGGGGGGTTCCGCGGCGCCGCCGCCATGGATCCGCATCCTGGTCGTGACCTTTGCCCCCACGCATGCTGGCCAGCCCACATCGCCCCTGGATGGCATGGAGGCCGTCCATGACACCGCCGATGTGCCGCTCTTGGATGCCGAGGCCGGCACTGCCCCAAAGACATCGACGACGCCACCGAGGCGCAGCAGATCATATCAAGGCTGATGTAATGTGCTTCCAAGATCAATATTTTGTCTTGCTTTCCTTGAATGTAATACCACTGTCTTCATACTGTTTTTAAGAATCTTTTACGTGGGGTTTTATACATTTTCCTATTGCTTTTTATGGAGATGTTGTTTGGAATTTAGGCTTTTATTGGGTTGTGAGTTGATATGAAGTCCTATGACATGTTTCAAAGAATTAGTTCTACATACAGTATAGTGAAAGTTCATGTGTAATGTAGAGTCTGAGCATGAACTGATGTTTGCAGTAGGGAAGTTTGTTGGCCGCATCTCATGGTTCTTTTCAAGGTGTCTTTTGTTTCAAGGTCACCACAAAGCAGCGCCTGGTTCTCATCGTGCATTGCCTTTAGATGAACCATCGACAGCAACTAAGGTCGTATCTAAATATCATCTAGCATTCTAAGGACTACTAATCAAGCTCTGTAATAGGATGAAACCTTCCTCTGTTTTTCGGCCATGCTATCTCTGCTGCTTTTGAACAGCTACCACCTATACTTTACTTATATAACCTTTGCTGTTGTTCCTCATGAAACTATTAATATGCATAATGCCACCCTTATCTATAATTATATGTTTTTACTACTTTCTGTGTTCCAAACATCGAGTACTCACCAGCAACAACAAATATGCTAAGCAAGGAAGAGGCATGCCCTAACTGGCAGCGTCCACCTTCCAACCAAGGGATATAGCACTATCATTTAGCATAGACTATTCCAGGAGAAACAGTAACCATGAACAGAGACAGTAACCAGCAGTAAGTACTTATTATTTCGATCTATGACTGAGTTTTCCTATCACCACTCTTGCAATACTTGGCTTGTTGCCGGCCTTTGCGCCATTTGGCGCAACGGGTCATCTAGTCCATGGGAAAGCATGCTACAAGTAGGTGACGGTTCAGCATGCGTGCGCGCATTGATGAAGATTATTGGAAGCTGAGCAGGCGTGCTCGATCACTGCCCGAGGCAGAATTTACTACTCCGCATTTTGTAACCGCGTCGTATCTCTGAACTTCTATATAAGCTGATGCAAAACTAGGGTAATGGCTAGATAATCGTATTCCGAGACCGTACCACTCCATCCAAATTCTTTGCCGCACCGTCCACTAGCACGGAGCATGGCGCCGCCGGTTGTTCGGGAGCTTTGGGAGATGGAAGAGCTCGTGGAAAAGATCCTGCTCAGCATTCCGCCGGAGGAGCCGGAGATCCTCGTCCGCGCCTCCCTCGCCTGCAAACCTTGGTGCCGCCTCCTCTCCGGCAACGCGTTCCGCAGCCGCTACCTCGCCTTGCATGGAACAGCTCCGGTCCTGGGCTTCCTGCAGAGCTGGGTGGCCGGCGACCTCGAGCGCTTCGTCCCCACAAAAAAGTTCTGCCCCCGCAGTCCCATTCCCAAACTGAAGAGCACTTTCGTGCACGACTGCCGCCATGGCCGTGTTCTTCTTGGGTGCCTGCAACAGCGCGATGAAGCTGTCGTCTGGGATCCCGTGTCCGGGAGGCGGACCGAACTGCGAGAGCCTGACTACTTCTGCGCAGCCGCGGTGCTCTGCTCCGTGGACGGCTGCGACCATGCAGCCTGCAACTCGGGCCCGTTTTCCGTGGCTTGTATCGAGGACGAGGGATGCGTGGATGATGACGAACATTCTCTCCTGCTGGCGTCTGTGTACTCATCATACACCCAGAAGTGGACTTCTCCGGCCTGTATTCACATAGGATTTGTATCGGACGACTGCTTCATGGGAAGGCCTAGTCTCCTCATCGGAAAACAACTCTACTTCCTCCTTGATCATGGTTTGGGCATTCTCCGGTATGACTTGAGTCGGCATCGCCTGTCAGTTATTGATCTGCCAGAAAAGCTGGTTGAGCACAACCCTCTCCTTATTTCGGGTCCCGGCGGTAGGCTGGGGGTCGTCCACCAGGACAAGCACGGCTTATGCGTCGTGTACTCGAGGTGGAGCATTGATGGTGAGTATCGTTGGCTCTATAGCAGAGCAATTGACCTCAATATGCTTCGCCCCATTGTCCATCCGATGAGCTCACATCCACCAGTGTTGGCTGGATCTTTGGAGGGCACCGACCTGAGCATTGTCGTCACAGATCTTGGTGTCTTCACATTTGATCGCAAGTCCCTGAGTTTAAGAAGCTTTCGAGTAAGAAGTACAGATATGGTTGGGTTTAGCTCAGCACATCTTTCTCTACACGAGCTTCAACACCATACCAGGTATGTTTACCTTGACACTTCATATATGATTCCCATGTGTACGATTGTTTGATGTGTTCAGTTCACCAACACATGCGAAGTTTGCCTTAACAAAATCGCTTAAGCGGTGCCAAGAAATTTTACCGAGTATACTACTGGCTGACGTTCTTTGCTTCGTTTAGCACTGGCTGGTGTTGTGGACGACCAAAGAGCTGGTGAGGGAGGAGGTGTTTACCATGCCGAAGTCTGAATTAATCCCTGGCAAGGCAGTAAAGCATGGGAGTTTAATTTCATCTTTTGGTGCTTCTTCTTATTCGGAGTGTTATCCTACTCTGATATGAGAGTCTTGTTATCTTCACTTATGTTTGCTGTGAGAGTCTTTTTCTATGTTTGCTATGAATATATGAGAGTCTTCGCTTTGGTATAATCTTGTTAAGCGTCAGTTCTAAGTTGGTTACCCAAACATATTTTCTCTGTGGCGTATCACACTGAACTTTCAGTAACTTGGTTAAGATATGGCCGTAAAATAGCCAAGTTCTTGTTCCTTCAGTCATTTTGTTAGCCTGTTGGACTGGTCCCTCCAACTTCCCTTGCCAAGCAAAATGCTTCCTATATTATGATTGAGGACTCATGACGACTGGGATGGCTCCCCCGAGCTCGGGCGACTCGCTGGGCGATCTGCCGGCGCCGCCGCTGGCTGAGCCCCCCATCCCTCCCTCGGCCCCCGTCCGCCCGCTGACGCCCTCCCCGGCCGCTCCGCCGTCATCCCCCCTTCCCGCGCCGCCTCGCCGCGTGTCGTCTGGGCCGACCTCGCGGAGGCCGATGACCTCGCCGCGGGGCGCTCGATCATCTGCTGCGACCGCGTCCCCCCCAAGGCTCCGGCCTGGTCGCCTCAGGCTGTCCCTGCCGGTGGCTTGACTCCCAGGGGTGGGAGCCCAGCTGCCAGCGGGGATGGCCGGCGCCTGCCGACGGGCTCGTCTCGGGCGACTCTGACGAAAGGCGTTGCCTTGGGCTCCGGCGCGTGCCCTGGGGGTCGCCGATTTGGCGGGTGGGGCGTCGCCGGTCGGGCTGACCGCGGCCTCACGCGCGTCTCCTGGAGATCATCCGGTCCTTTGCCGCCCTCCGCTGCCCTCTCCTCTGTTCCGGCCGACGCCCTCGACGGCGCTTTCGGTGGTGGTCTACCGGTGCTCCCCATTCCGTCCATTCATTTTGGTCTTCGGCGCCCCCGTGCCTCTGCGTACCGGCATCTTGCCCACCCCGGCCTGGCCCCGTCGCCCCCGCCATGCCCTGCCGGCGACCCCTTCCGCGGCGGCGCAGGGGGAAACCCTCGCTCCCCGGTTGGTGTCCCCTGGCTGGTCCTACCGGGCCGCGCTTGTGGTGGGCCGCCCTGTGGGCCGCCTGCCCAGCGCTCCTGGGCCGCCGTTGGTTTCGCAGGCTGCTGGCCTTGCGCTGGTCGGGCCTTCTAGGCCCCCTCCCCCCCTCGAGGCCCAACCCTGCCCCCAGGTGGGCCTCGGCCCGACGAGCCGGTCCATTTGGCCGCCTTTAGGGTTCCCCCGCCATCATCTTCCTCCCGCATCACCCGCCTCCTCCCCCGACACTGTCCCTACCGCCGCCACCTCCAGACCCGTCGCCCCAGCCGGCTCCCGCTCGCCCTTCCCTCCTACCTCGCCGGCCATGACCCGCGAGTGGGATGATGGGGCGGGCCGCCCCAAGCGCCGGGCCGACGATCGCCGGGCTCCTCCGTGCCCGTCGCCGGACGCACTCCGGAGGGAGGAGGAGCTCCGTCAGGAGCTA